CACAGCATTGTCTCATCAGTATGTAAAACTCAGAAAATCCCAAGGTGCTTCTGTCTCAAGGAAGGAGTTCTGCTAACCTCTCCAGGCTGGCACGACCCTGTCCAAGATGCACGTTATGGAGAAGCCATGTGTAGTCCAGGGACTGGGAAAGACAGAGCTCCTATATAGAAACACCACAGTTTGTGGCTCTTTTAAATTATATAGATATGCTAAGGAGATACAACAGTGTGGAAACACAGCATGTTCTGAGCACCTACAGGAAAGAGAACTCAGTGAAGTGTGGTGAATCCTTAGCAGGAAAAGGTGCACATAGAGGTTCTTCACTACGTCAGTCTCTGTTACTGTCGTCATGGTCTTTGATGCCTTATGTCTGCTCTGAGCACTGCCATCCCCCAAGGGTCCAACTCCAGAGCTCGCTACAGGAGGAAGATATGCAAATAAGGCTTCTCTGTGCCCATGAAAACCAGCCCTGCCCTGATCCTGCAGCTCTGGCGGAGGAGCCCAGTCCTGGATTCCCAGGGTCTCCCATTCAGAGATCAGCACTGAACACAGATCACTTACCATGGACTTGTGGCTTATTTGGATTTTCCTTGCCGTTATTTTAAATGGTGTCCAGTGTGAGGTGCAGTGGGTAGATTCAGGAGGAGGCTTAGTGCAGCCCCAAACATCCCTAGAACTGTCCTGTGACGCCTCTGGATTCACTTTCCGTGATTATAACATGAGCCGGGTCTGCCAGGCTCCAGAAAAGGCCTGGAATGGGTCGCGTATTTTAGTGGTGATAGTAGCGACATCGGATATACCAGTGCCGTGAATGGCTGATTCACCATCTCCAGAGACAATGCCAAGAACACCCTGTACCTGGAAATGAGCAGTCTGAGGCCTGAGGACACAGCCATGAAGACACATGCCAGATTCAGTGATGCAAAGCTACTCTGAGATCAGACACAAACCTCCCCGCCGGGTGCTCATGACCAGCAGCGGGGCAAGAGCACCCAGAGATCTGGGTCAGGTAAGAGCTTGTCCAGCAAAGGCTGGACTCCTCTGTGTCTGGGCTGACTCTCCAAATCACACTCAGGGATTCTCTCTACAGGCTCCTTCCAATGGTTTATATACACTGCCTCTCAGCAAACATGATGGGTAGTCTGTGCTGTAAAATCTGAGACAGATTCCTTACCTGAAGCTCATGTATACTCGTTTGGATTCTACAGGAACCTGGAGTAACTGATGCCTCCTCAATGTATGCTGGGATCCTATGGACAGTGTCACCATGAAGGAACAGATAAGCATGGACACCAGTGTACACAACGTTTTCAGTGACGATGTGATGACACCTGAGAACTGATCAAGGCATGCTCGGACTGTCTTGAACTTTTCTCACCTTTGATGATGTCATAACTGAGGCTGAGATGCTCTGTTGTTCTGTGACTGGCGCTGTGTAGTGATGAGTTCAGCCATTAGGCAAAGCATCTGGAAGTTGCAGACAGGAGACTAGACTGCTCCTACAAAGCAACTGCATCTTCTCTGCACTGCCCTTCCAGCATCAGGTCCATGCGATTCTGTGAGGACTTTGTCCTGACCAACAGGAAGCCGAGTCTTCTGTCAAGGCTGTGACAGCTCACAGTCACAGCAGGGCTACTTAATGACTCAGAAACTGGAAAATGGTCCAGCCAGGACTATATCTGAGACTGACCACTGCTGTAATTGCCTCTTATTTCCACCAGAACTCTTGCTTAACTCTTTTTAAAACCTTTGTTAATGGATTTGTTCAGAGAACTAAGCACCACTGTTCTTTTACTTCCTGTGTGATCATGGAACCGCCGCCAGAGTCAGACATGTCGAAACTTTGCTGGTAAGCCACATCCACATGGCAATACACAGATTAATAGAAATTGGTTAAATTAATATGTAAGAGTTAGCCAATAAGAAGCTAGAGCTAATGGGCCAAGCAGTGATTTAATTAATAGAGTTTCTGTGTGATTATTTTGAGCTAAGTCGGGTGGCCAGGAACCATCCAGCAGCCTCCCATTACACCAATGGTACAGAAGAATTTTGAGTAACTGTCCAGGCAGCAAGATGTCTCTGTCAATTCTAGAGTTTTGGAAATTGCTTACAATGCACTTCCTCTTAACTTAGGTAATACTATATCCTTCTGGAGTCTTTGATGAAGTTGAAAATGGATAGTTATAATTGTAATTTTCCTTAGTTACAACAAAAGACAAAATAGATATAAATATTATGACTGTAATTCTTGCTTGATACCTGTTTTGCTATATGTAATTTTATTATGTTAAGGTTAAACCTTCCTTTTTATTTAGACAAAAAAGGGAAGGTGATGTGGGATTCCCCTCTGTGTGCTGTGAATATGTTTTACTGCCATTGGTTAATAAAGAAGCTGCTTTTGGTCAATGACTTAACAGAGTAAAGCCAGTTGGTAAATCCCAACAGAGATGTAAAGAGAGAGTAGGCAGAGTCAGAGAGACAACATGTAGCTACCAAAGGAGACAGACACCAGAACTTTACCCAATAAATCATAACCTTGTGGCAAACAGAATAATAGGAATGGGTCAATTTAAGATGTAAGAGCTAGCTAGGAATATGCCTGAGTCACTGGCATATTGCAATTAATATAGTTTCTCTGTGATTATTTTGGGTCTGGGTGACCGGGAACAAGCAAGCAGTCTCCGACTGCACTGGTCTAACTAGATATCTGCATGTAGAGGAATGCAAATAGACCCTTATCTATCACCCTGTGCAAAACTCAAGTCCAAGTTGATCAAAGAACTCAACAAAAAAACAGATCCACTGAGCCTCATAGAAGAGAAAGTGGAGAACACCCTTGAATGCATTGGCATAGGAAAAGACTTCTTGAACAAAATATTATATGCTGACTAGTTGTGTGTCAACTTAACAAACTAGAGTTAGCTGAGAGGAGAAAGCCTGAATTGGGGAAATAAGGTCAGGCTGTGGGGTATTCTCATAATTAGTGATCAATGGGGAGGGCCCAGTCCCTTTGCGGGGGTGCCATCCCTGGGCCCTGGGTGCTATAAGAAAGCAGGGTGTGCAAGTCATGGGAGCAAGGCAGGAAGCAGCACCCTCCAAGGCCTCTGCATCAGCTCCTGCCCTGCTTGAGTTCCTGTCCTGACTTCCTTCAATGATGAACAGTAATGTGGACGTGTAAGACAAATCAACCCTTTCCTCCCCAATTAGCCTTTTGGTCATGGTGTTTCACCAGAGCAATAGAAACCCTGAGTAAGACAACTTTAACACAGGCACTAAGATCAACAATTAATAAAGGGGGCCTCATGGAACCGAAAAGCTTCTCCGCATGCACAGGGCCTGCGCAGTCTGCACCAGATCTTCTGCATGTGCACTGTAGGTTCCAGGTTAGTGTTTTCATGTGATTCCTGAGTGTGCAGATGAGTGGGTCTCTGCTTATTGCACTGTCTCTTGGGCTCTTTTCCTTGTTTGTCTTCTTCTGACATGTTAGCTTTTGTTTTATATCATCACATTTTGTTTTGTTGCTATTTCTTAGAAACCTGGGCTTTTCTAGTGAAGAGAAAAGAAAATGGTGGATGCAGACAGGAGGGGAGTGGGGAGGAGCTAGGAGAAGGGTGGATGCAGACAGGAGGGGAGTGGGAAGGACTAGGAGAAGGGAGCGGGAACCATAGCCACAGTACATTGTGAGTGAAGATGTGGTTTTGATAAAAGGAATATGGAAGAATTTATCCTTTTTTTAGTGTGTGGGGTTCAGTGGGGTGGTATGTGCACATAAATGCAGTGCCCATAGAGGCCAGAAGGGGGCATCAGTTACCCCCAGGAGATGGAGTTACAAGCACTTAACCCACTGTGCCATCTCTCCAGCCCCTGCTTGTTGTTTAAATAAAGAATCTCTCTCTAGGGTCTTGAGAGAAGGATGTCAGCAGCACACTTCTCCGAAACATGAGGACCTAAGTTTGGATCCCCAGGAGCAATGCAGTAAGGCAGGCATGATGTAATACCTGCAGTGGGAGGCAGAGACAAGAGCATGTAGGCTACAGCCATGCACACTAGTCTACTTGAAAGTTCCAGGCCAATGAGAGACCTTGTCTGAAACAAAGAGTGGAAAGCATCTAAGGATTGACACAACAGTCACCCTCTGACCTCCACATACAGGCACACACGTGAACGCCCATGAACGCCCATGGACATACACAGAAGAGCCACCCTAGCCCGGGCTGACCACACACTCACCAGCCTACCTCAGCCTCCTCGGTGCTAGCTAGTGTGTGCCCCACTCCCGCTGTGCTTACTAAACTGAGTTCTTTGCCAGTCTGACAGGCAGGCATGGGTGCCTGGAAGAGGCCCAGCTCAGCTTCTGGCTGGTCAAGCAGAGGATCTGTAGAAGCAGAGCCCTGCTGAGCTCAGGCAACATGAACCCACCTTCTCCTTGGGGTCTTCTAACTGTAATGGAGCAGCTGATCCCTATAGGAACCTGGTGGACAGGACTTAGACTCATTCCTGACCCGGTCTCTAAGAAGAGGAGCGAGATGGGGTGTCCCTAACTGCCCCGCCATGCTCTCTGACCCAGCCTCTAAGGAGAGGAGCAAGATGGGGGTGTTCCTAACTGCCCCGCCTTGCTCTCTGGCCCAAGGAGCCTGCCCATTCCCAGACAGACACACACCTTGTCCTGGGATACAGCAAGGCCAGCCACCACTCCTGCTGCCCCTGGATGACCAGCAAGGCACCCTGGGAGCATCCTTGGGCATCTAGTAACATGGTCCACGAAGGGTCTCTGTGTTCTAAAGTGGACCTAGAATTAAGCGTCCACCACACACCAAGGAAGGCCACAGTGGCTATAAGGCCTCCATCTTGGGCTGTATACAGAACAACCAGGCCAGGTCTCTGTCCCCTAAGTCAATGCTGAGACTGGGCAGGTCCAACACAGTGCACTGGGCAAGAAGGCAGGTGTAGCAGGGCCATCTCACCAGGAGAGCTTAAAATCAACACTCATGGCCAAGACATTTGGTACAAAGTTTATAGGTCACCCTCCCATGCAGGTAACTTTAAGTGTTCTGAAATAGATGGGGACGGCAAACCTAGGCCCACTCCCAAAGCCTGGCCACACACCCGGTCCACGCGGGGGAGTGGAGGCAGGACTGGACAGCAAGCTATGAGGGAGGGCTTTGGAGGGCCCCGGGCAGGAGTCTTCTGCAGGCTTGAGAACAGGATTCAGACAAAAGTCACGTGTGTCTGTTCCTAGGCAGCCCACGGTTTAGCAACCCTTTTCACACTTGTGATCCCTGACCCAGGCCAAGGAGAACTGCTCCACCCAGGCAGACAAGCGGTTTGTCCCCGCAGGACCCACAGGGAGGATGCCGACTTCATAAACCATCATAGACCGGCCCATTCCTGGGGCCACGCAGGGATGGCTTTCCTCGAAAAGCCCTTTGTGGTGGGAGACAGCCCTCGGAGCAGGACCTCATCTTATCTTCCTGGGGCACTCAAGAAGCAATGAGGATGGATCCTGCCCACACTCAGGGCCAGTCAGGTATCCCAGACCCTGATCAATGGTCACCAGCCGGGACCCTGGGGCAGCTCCAAAGTCAGTGGTGCCTGACCAGGGCCAAGGGCCAACACATGACTGGCCCACAGGTGGCTTCCGGGAAGAGACTGGGTACTCATAGTGGCTAAGGTCCGTCGCCAAGGGTCAGCGTCAGGGACAGACTGGGCTTGCGCTCCGGTTCCTGGTCCTGGCAGGGCTGGGGCGGCCGGGATTTGAAGAAGTCTGAGACATAGCGGACCTGCGGGGGAGGGGAAAGCAGTGCATAAAACCAAGGAAGAAGCCCAGAGGGAGGAGCCAATGAGGGTAGTAAAGGAAACCGGGCCAGTGGTGAGGGGCAAGCTCTGGGACGCAGATCAGCAGGCAGAGGTCACAGGAACATTGGGCTCTATAGGATGAGGCAGGCAGGGCTCACCGTGAGGCACGCTACCAGGGCTCCCTGCAGGAGGCCGACGAGGACATCACTCCAGTGGTGCTTGTGGTCGGACACACGGGTGTAGCCCACGTAGATTGCAAAGGCCACCAAGAAGAACTGAACCGTGGGCCTCAGCAGCCGTGCCCACTTCCAGCAGAGCCGGGCCTGCACATAGAGCTGTGGGGCATCAGCCTGCATTAGCTGGGCCCGTGGGTGTCCACACCCTGCCCAGCCCAACGCAAGAGTCGTAAATCCCCTACCCTCGGGGCCTCCTCCACGTACTCCATTGTGCAGCGGGGAAGACCCAGGCCCAGGGAAGGGGAGGCTGGGCAAGGTTCCCTGGGAGGAAGGGAGACACTCACCGCCAGGAACAACATGCAATACATGCCGAAGGAGGAGTGTCCGGAGTAAAAGGAGAGCCTGGGAGGGAGGGCAAGCCAGTCAGTGGAACCCCTTGGGGACCTGGCAGCCACAGAGGGGTGCAACTCTGACTGCATCTGCAGATGACCCAAGTTCAGTTCCCAGTACCTACATCAGCTGCTCACAACTACCAGAAGATCTGATGCTCTGAGGGCACCAGCACTCACATGCACGTGCACGGGGGAAGGGGAAGAGAGAGAGAGAGACCAAAAATAAATCATCCTTCCTAGAGAAGCTAAATAAGAAGGAGAACCCAAGGAAAAACATATAGGCATCCTCCTGAATATTAACCTTCATCAGGCAATGAAAGGAGACAGAGACAGAGACAGAGACA